CCCCGCCCTCCCCGCTCCTCACCCCCCCCCCATGCACACTTCCCATGACCCCGTGACCCCATGCCCCTAGACCCTATCAGATGACTTTAAAGGGCCCCAGTGCATGCCCGCCCGCTCCGCCCTCCCCGCTCTCCCCGCCCCCTCCCTCCGCCCGCTCCATCCCATAACCCCCACGCCCTCAACCCCCTGGCACCCATGGCTCATAGCCCCATGATCCCAGCTGGCTCCCACCACCCACACCTCATGAGTGTTTTAGCATTCTGGTGCTCCTATCACATGGCTTTAAAGGGCCCCGGTGCATGCCCGCCCGCTCCGCCCTCCCCGCTCTCACCCCCCCATGCACCCTTCCCATGTCCATCGCATGGCCTACCACCCACACCCCCCCCACGCACGCTCTCCCCACCCCATCCCCCCATGCACCCTTCCCGTGCCCGCTCTCCCCACCCCCTCCGCCCGCTCCGCCCGCTCCATCATGGCCCCCTTGCCCTCGACCCCGGCTCCAGCTCATGGCCCCAGGATCCCACATGGCTGCCACCACCCACACACCCCTTCCCCCCACGCACGTTTCCCATGGCCCCGTGGCCCCATGCCCCTATCAGATGACTTTAAAGGGCCCCAGCGCATGCCCGCCCGCTTCGCCCTCCCCGCTCTCCTCACTGTGGGTCCGCATTTCCATCGATTGTCGATGCGTCCGTCTCGCACGGCTGATGCGACCTTTGCCTTGCACTTTGGGCACTCATATGAGAAGCGCGCGGTCGCCGACTGGGCGGCGACGACTTTGCCTGCGGCGACCGTAAACTGGTGTCCGCATGTCCGTCGGTTGTTGATGCGTCCGTCTCGCGTGGTTGACTCGACCTTTGCGTCGCACTTTGGGCACTTATACGAGAAGCGCGCGGTTGCCGACTGGGCCGCGACGACTTTGCCTGCGGCGACCGTAAACTGGTGTCCGCATGTCCGTCGGTTGTCGATCTCCATTCCATGGCCCGCATGCCCTCGACCCCGGCTCCATGCCCTCGACCCCGGCTCCACCTCATGGCCCCACCCACACACCCCTTCCCACCATGCACGTTTCCCATGGCCCCGTGGCCCCATGCCCCTATCAGATGACTTTAAAGGGCCCCAGTGCATGCCCGCCCGCTCCGCCCTCCCCGCTCTCACCCCCCCATGCACCCTTCCCATGTCCATCGCATGGCCCCCATGCCCTCGACCCCCTGGCACCCATGGCTCATGGCCCCATGATCCCACATGGCTCCCACCACCCACACCTCATGGATGTTTTGGCATTCTTTTAGGGGCTCCAGCTCATGGCCCCATTTCTCACATGGCTGCCACCACCCACACACCCTCCCCCTCCATGCACCCTTCCCATGGCGCCGTGGCCCCATGCCCCTATCAGATGACTTGAAAGGGCCCCAATACATGCCCGCCCGCTCCGCCCTCCCCGCTCTCCCCACCCCAGTGCCCGCTCTCCCCGCCCTCCGCCCGCTCCGCCCGCTCCATTCCATGGCCCCCATACCCTCGACCCCGGCTCCATGCCCTCGACCCCGGCTCCAGCTCATGGCCCCAGGATTTCACATGGCTGCCACCACCCACACACCCCTTCTCCCCATGCACGTTTCCCATGGCCCCGTGGCCCCATGCCCCTCTCAGATGATTTTAAAGGGCCCCAATGCATGCCGCCCGCTCCGCCCTCCCCGCTCTCACCTTTTTTCCCTCCCATGCACCCTTCCCATGTCCATCGCATGGCCCCCATGCCCACCCATGGCTCATGGCCCCATGATCCCACATGGCTCCCACCACCCACACCTCCTGGATGTTTTGGCATTCTTTTAGGGGCTCCAGCTCATGGCCCCATGTCTCACATGGCTGCCACCACCCACACCCTTCCCATGGCCCTGTGGCCCCACCCCTTCCCCCCATGCACGTTTCCCATGGCCCCGTGGCCCCATGCCCCTATCAGATGACTTTAAAGGGCCAACCAGTGCATGCCCGCCCGCTCCGCCCTCCCCGCTCTCACCCCCCCCCCCCCCCCCCCATGCGGTTTCGGGTTTCGGGTTTCGGGTTTGGGGTTTAGGGTTTAGAGTTGGGGGTCGGCGGCACTGGCGGTAGCCATTAAATCGGGCAGCGCGAGGTCCCCAAAGGACCGAGCAAATGCGGACCTTTTAGCCCGGGTCGTCCCGGGAATAGCCTTGCTGGCCTCTGGCCTTCTGCGAAGCAGAATTAAGCCGGACGCCAGTGCCGCCGACCCCCGCGTGCCGCCGGTGAACGGTTTTTTTTTCGTGGTTTTTTGCGTCGCCACGGAGGCCCCCAGAGGGCGCGCATCATGAGCATCAGCGGGTCCAGCCCGGGACCCACAGGCGCGCATCAGGAGCATCAGCGGCTCCCGGGGCGGGACCCCGGGGGCGCATCAGGAGCATGATGCCCCCCAAAGGGCGGGCATAAGCGACGTGTCTAAGCCCGGGGCTAGGAAAAAGTGAGTTTAGGGGCCTTATAAAGTGCTTAGAAACGTTAAGGGAGTCTAGGAGCCTCAAACGCTTAGAGATTTGAAGGGAGTTTAGGGGCCTGAAAATGCTTAGAAACTTAACGCTTAGAGATTTTAAGGGAGTTTAGGAGCCTCAACATGCTTAGAAACTGCTCGCCCCGGGCTTCTGCGTGCGCTGCCCGCCCATGGGCGCAGCCCCTTAAAATAAATATATATATATATATATACCGACTACAGTATGAGTATTGTAGGACCCCGCTCTTGCACGTTCTTGGCGAGTCGGAGCCTCCTTCGCACCAGCACCACCACAGTTGAAGCGCTGGCTTGCGTATTGCCCCTGCAGCTCCGGTGGCACGCCTGCGCTCAAACACACACACACACACACACACACACACACACACACACACACACACACACACACACACACACACACACACACACACACACACACACACACACACACACGAGTCGAAGAGAGCTTAATGAGAGAGAACCAGAAGATTGGGAACGCTTTGACGCGCTCTCTACACTCTTCTCGCTGTTGCTTTATTCTTGGCGTTTAATCGCACATCTCAAGGCGGGTCTCTAAGGCGTCCCGCCTCGGATCATCGCCAGGGCCGGGGCGCCTGAAGGGGGGTGGAGATCAACGAGATATACTTCCCGTAAAAGGGCCTTCCGTGAGGAGGATATGAGCGAGACGTGAAATGTGAGAGGTATGAGACCAGAGGCAACAATTGAGGGATCACTCGGAGACGTGAGATGGGCAGGCAATGGGAGGAAGAGAGATAGAGATTCATAAGATTATCGCTCTACCAGGCCCCCCGGCCAAATGCACCTAGCAGGCGCAGCATCTCTGCTCCGCGGCTTTAAACGCGCTCGGCGAGAGAGCGCCAAAAACAGCCGAAAACAGTACAGTTGTTTCAGTTCTTCCAGCGGGGAGAGCAGGCCTCCTTGCGGTCTTTAGCCATCACACATATACCAACTTGTGAAATGCAGAGTTACTTTGACGAGCTTTGTGTCCAAGCATGCGACCTTGAACCATTATGCAATACACTCTCGGTGTGGTGCTGTGAAGCCACAATGCTCCCTCGCCCCTCTCACACCCTCTCACACCCTCTCACACCCTCTCACACCCTCTCACACCCTCTCCCCGTCTCAACTTTTCCTGCTCAGTAGCGAGAAAATCGATTGGTCGATCGGGCATTAGCAGCATATATTAGCACGTAACGAATATATGAGAAGGCTCTCTGCGGTCGAGAGTGTGAGACGCAAGTCCTTGAAGCAGCCAATAGCCATCTCGGAGACTCATATCTGGCCAAGAAATTTGCATTGAAATCTGACACATGCAGCCATGCAGCCATGCAGCTGCTACAGTCGCAAAGCATCGCAAAGTAATACGCCAGTTTCCTTCACAAGTCTGGCCTCGCGGCTCATCAGCGTGCTGAGCGTGATGAAGCCCTGCCTGACTCACGGAACACTCGACCGAAAGGCGCAACGCGAAGTAAAACAAAAGCTCACAGACACAGAGAGACACAGACACGCGGACAAAGATCACAGAGCAGGGGAGAGGCCCAGCCGAAGACGTCCCCTTGAAGACGCCATAAGACGGCCCCCTCTGAACACCCGCCACAAGACGCCCTCTAAGGATGTTACAGTTCTTACAATCACCTCTCAGGGGGCTCTCTCACCCGGGCTCCCGGCAGGATCCCGCGGTCCGTGACGTAGACCACGCCATCGCTCTCGGCCTCAATGTTGATAGGCTGATAGGTGATAAAGCAACATGCCGCGACCAGTTTTGCCGCAGCTTGCTCATTTGCCCTTGTCCACCCTCTGCAACATGCTCTCTTCTCTCTCTCTCTCTCTCTCTCTCTCTCGTCAATTTGTGATTCCGGCTCTTGCGCAGCGACGCAAACAATGATACTGCGGTCATTTCAGATCTTCTGACGATGTGCTGGTTGAGTAGTTGTCGAGACAGCTTCAGCCATGTTCTGGATTTTCATGTGTGAGCCCCACCGTGCTCCCTCTTGCCAGTTCCCACAACCCTGCCCAAGCTTCACTTGAGGCAACAAGCCCACGCGAGCAGCCTACCCGTCCTGCCCAGCAGGCTTCTCTGCTGCAGTGCACCGAAGGTCATATTACGCAGCCTGCTGACACTGCCCAAGCAAGCCTTTACTGCTTTTGTTGCTCATCCCGGCTCTCTGCGTTCCCTTGCAGGGGATCTCTCACCCTCGAGCGGGGTTCCCCCCAAGTCTCCCTTTAGTGGGTCGGCGGCTCTCTGGGGCGAAATTTGTGGGGTGTGAATTGTGCCAAGAAAAATTCGCCTCGGCTTTTCGCTTCGGCTTCCTGCCGAGAAGCTCGGAACAAACGGACATGGATCCTGTCTCCTTCCCCCTAACCCAACCCTTCCCATGAAAATTTTGTGACGCACCCTCCCCCCCCCTCCCCCCGCCCTGTGGGACCCCCCCCCCCCTTGCTTGGAGGAGGTGCAAACCGATGCTGCGGGGGGGGGTCCCGCCTGAGGGCACTCCAAAATGCACGAATGATAGAATCGGGCTCTCCTGCTACGAATGTGAGACTTGTCGACTTAATGGGTTGAAGGTTGTTGATGTTTTTTCGCACCCCCCTGGGGCCGGCCCGGCGGCGCGCGCAAGTGTTTACAATTAAGGAACTTTTCTGGTCAATGGCGGGTTTCCTGCGCAACTTGGGTTGAAAAAGAGGGGTTCGCCTCGTGTCGTTCAGGCCTCGCGGGCGAGCAGATGTGAGGCAAGAAGTGCGGCCCTGTCCATAACCCGTTTTTACGAGACTCGACTGCGAATACGTGTTGTGAGCGTGAGCGTCTGAGAGTGGGCATGTCATTGCATGTCCACACGGTATGAAGGCATGATGCAACCACGCTTGGCACGGGGCCACCTTCATCAGCAGATAAACCTTCAGAGGCCACACTCCGCTCATCAACGCTCATGGCAGGGACGTGAGAAGAATTGAGTCAACACAGCAAAAGAAATGAAAAGAAATGAAAACAAATCATCAACAGATCATCAACAGCTGCAAAGATGTCTGCAAGACTTGCGCAGTCCGTGGGGCTCCTGCATCCTTGACGGTACAGTCGGGCGAAACGCGGACAGGCGAGCCCTCCACCAACGCCTCGCTGCCTGCGGTTCCCAGGCTCAGAGCCCCTATTCCTTCAAATTCCTTCTCTCCTCTTTTCAGAATTTCAGAAGTCTTCACCAGATGTAGTGCCCCCCAACTCCCCTTGGTCCCTTCCGAAGGCTCTGGCCGTCTGGGGGTGCTTGGAACTGTGGGTCCATGAGATCCTTAGAATGGAAGAAGAGAACGTGGCAAAAACGCCCTTAACCTGAACCTGCCTTCCTCTTTTTTCCGCAGAGCACGATTCAGAGATGTCAACCTCCTCTACAACGCTACAGCCGCTTTAGAGTTAACTGCTCCAAGCGGCGATCTCCCGGTCGGGCGTCTCACCCTTGGGATCCAGCATCTTCAGCAGCCGCCTCGAGCTAAGACAAGCGTGACTTTCGCAAGCTTCGCAAGCACATGGCATGGGCCTTAAGAGGGCAATTTAGAAGGCTCCCGGCTGGACGTTCTTCCGGGTCATGGTCCCTTCCAAGAGGCCCTCCGTGACACGAAGACAAAGTACGAAAGCCAAAGAAAGCAAGGCGCAGCTCAGCCGCGGAGATGAACCCTGCCTCCTACGTACGGCGCTTAAGATATACAAGCTGCTCAAGCTCCTACTAAACCATGATATCCTCTATAGGGGCACGGAGAGGTTTGCATGACAACGGAAAGATACAAGAAGGACTTGCGGCACTTGACGGGCAGCCTTCTAATCACTTTAAACTGCATCGGGGCCTTGTCAGAGACGTCCCAGGCCAAAGGCCGGACCTACAAATTCGAGACGGAGAAGCTCATCTCTCAGGCACACAAACAAAAAAACAACGCTGCTTTGGTTTGAGCCCGGAATAATGCAGTTGACCCACTGCAGATCTCCGTAGGCTACGTGAAGAAGGCTGTACGATAACAACAAACAAACAATGATGGGACACTGCAAACCCTGCGGATGAAAATATGCTGTGGATGAAACTAACAATAAATAGAGGGAAATACATGTAGACCCCCGTTGACCTACAATGTTTTGTCTTGGATTTCCTCGTCGGTGCCCAACTCATGAACAGCATTGGCCTTACCAATGTTTTACCAATGTTTTCCATGGTTCGTCGAAGCGGGATCAGAAAAACAAGAAGGCAAAACCAATGCTTTCAACAAAGTCCAAACTATGAGCATGAGGCCCTGAGATCTCTCCGACTCCTAAACTCAAGGAAACAATTATGGTTGTACCTCCCATAACAAAACGCATTGACAAGCACGCGGAAGCACATTTCATTCGAAAAATGGCCTCAGGTATTTGCTGTGTGCATGTATTGCACTTATAAGGGCCCAGGGACTGGGAAGATGAATCCTTGCCTGGAGTGGATTTGCTGTATGGGTGCTTGGATTGTAATTACTTGCAAGGGTTGAAACGAAGAAGCATTTTACTCTGTGTTTTTACTTGATGTAGTACTATACACTCCCACAGGTGAAACAACAAACTCTCGGTGTGCGAGGGATCACGCGTGCAAGTCCGTGCGTCTTACGTATGCTTAAGCTGGTCAAAGCTCCATGTGCTCCCCTCAACCCCCGCAGTTTTGAATTTTGCACAGTTCGCCGTGAAGTGGGTTGACAAAGAAGAGGGGGTGGTGTTGACATACCTCCCACATAGAGTTGGCATTCGAAGCATCCTTTATCTCTACGCTCTGGAAGCCTTTTCATGGTTGTCATCTTTGACGCCACAACTCTTCTTGAAAGCTTCGTTGGTTCTCGTTTTTGGAGCCGGAACTGCTTTAAAACGGCTCTCTTGGAAGCTTTGTTGGCTGTCTTTGTGGCTCTAAGAGTTTTTGCGTACCCGTGGCTGTCCTACTTTCAATACCTCGCATATCATATGCGTAGCTCGCACAGCTAATGCAAAGACGCACTTCCAGCTTCGGCGGAGGCTTGTTTTCTTGTGGCCGTGGCTGCAAAACTCCCTCTCAACAAGATGCAAACACGCAAACGCCTCCAGCACAATTAGGCAGAAGTAACCGTGGCTTCTAGGTGCCACAAACTACAGCGCCTCTGTTCGCAGGCCAAGACGCTGTAAAAGCACAGCGTTTCTGATAGCTGGCGGGCTCTCAACACTGCAAACATTTCTGATCGCTCGCAGGCTCTCAACGCTGTAAAGCAGAGCATTTCTGACCAAAGCCCGACCGTGGGGCAGGCGCCAGATTTCCTCCATCACCACACCCCCCTTCCACCTCCCGCCCTGTAACCCAACCTGCTCTCTATGCGGATCGGCCTGGTCTGTACATGAGCCTGCGTGTTACAACGGTATCCCCAACTCGCCGATCCTTCAGCTGGCTTAAGCCTCATAAGCCCCCCCCCCTTTAACAAAGACCACATCATTGGTTGACCCCGGTGGCGATATGTCAATCACAACCCGAAGGAGGTGAAAGCATTGTTGCTCCAAAGAAGTCGAAACTGAGACACAACCCGTGCTGCGGTCGAGGTCAAATCAGATTTGCCTCTCGAACTAGCCCTGGTTTCCCGCAAACTTGAGGGATGACAAGGACAAGGTGACAAGCTGGGGTCTACAAACCAGGGTCCGCCATCTCTGAGGGCGGGTCGATGGGGAAGAAATCGTGCTTGGTGCTGGTTAACCTGAGGAATCCATTCTGGAGCCTCTACCTCGAGCTCTGCTGCCGCTGATGTGTCACTTGTGCCGCTCCAAGTAGCACGTGCAGCAGGTGGCGCATTGTAATCATCTGAGGTAAACCTGGAGCGAAACACTGGATTTCTCAGAGAGAGAGAGAGGGGGACAAAGAGACCGAAAAAGACTGGAGAAAGACGGAGAGAAAGACTGAGAGAAAGACTGCGAGAGAAGAGAGAGGGAGGGAGAGCGAATACTCTGAACTGCTACCCGTGTCTCTGCTCCGTCCGCCTGCTCCTGCTTCTTTCGTTGGGCTGACGCTGCCATGAGCGGTGCAACGGTGCAGCGGAGTTTTCGTTCTTTTCGGATGGTTGCACAACGGACAACTCAAAGAGTCGGAGTTTTGGCGTCCCCGCGAGTGCTTTTCCTTGGCTTTCGTGCTTTTTGCTTTCTCTCTCGACCACACTGAGCCGAATGACAGAAGAGAACTTTGCCCCCGACATTACGATCAATCCGATTTGGGCGTTGTTGCATGCATTTTGATTCACGTTTTTTGTATCTCTCCTTGCATGTCCCCCCAACAGCCGCATCGTGCACGACACGGCTTTCTCTCTCCAAGAGTTTGGAGAGCAACTTAAACAGCGATAATCTTTGACACAATTAGGGCGACTCTGGTGAGAATTTGTTTCTCGCAGTGTTGGATCCAAGTGAGCACACGGTAGGAAGGGGAAGCTCTCGGAGTTCTCGGAGCCCAAGACCAAGATTTGGATTCACGGTGAACGAGGGGGGGGGGTACCGGAAACTCCACTCCCCCTTGCGCCCAGCGGAACTCCAACGGAAAGCCTGGATAGTGAGAGAATGATTCCATTAAATATGCAGGCCAAGCTAAGAAACAACCAATCGACAACCATTCACTATTCTCAGGGCTGCTGGAAGACAAGCGAACAAACTAAGAACGGTAATGCTGCGGATTGAAAGTGTGTTGCATGGGCCTTACGTGCAAAGGCTCGACGTGCCCCAAAAATCAAAACCTCCCAACTGCACTCAACTTGATGCTCAGGCTTCCAAAGTTCCAAGGCTGCCTGATTATCTCACTTGCGAGATGTCCCGAGCCTCAACGGTGAGACCCTCTCGCTGCATTGCGCGCGAGGTCTCGGCCCATGTTTTCACTTTTTGCGGGCCGCAATTAGGCCCAAACCAGAAAAAAGAACAACTTTTCATCGTTCGCGGACAGCAAACAAAAGCTTCAAAGAGAGACAGAGAGAGAGAGAGAGAGAGAGAGAGAGAGAGAGAGAGAGAGAGAGAGAGAGCGAGGGTCAGAGACAGGCAGATGGGGAGAGGGATAGGGAGAGGGATGCGAGAGAATCCGAGGCATGCGACTGGCAACATCTCATGTCCGCCAAATCTACGGAAGTCTGAACTAACTGTGCTTTGCTCGGCTATTTTCGATGACGGGAGCTGAGCGCTTGGCACTCGCTCATGTCCGACACGCTCATCACTTTCATCACCGGCTCGATGGCTTTGTCCTCACGGCACACGGTTATTTCCGAAAGCACAACCAAATCAACGCCAAAAGACTGAACAGATTTCTTGCACACACGCTTTCAAAGCTGACTGCGACGTCTTTGGGGCGTTTGGCGATCTCTGTCCGTGAAGGTGATGGCAGGAATGCCCCCGAGGTTTCGCGTCTGGGAGCGCTGCAAAAAAAACACCGCACATGCGAGACTGCGGGCACACGTGGAGCTCATGTGGCCCTCAAGATACTCAACTTTACGGTGTCTTTCTTTTCATTGAGTCATTGAGGCTCCCACTGCCAGGTTGGCATCGAAGAAGGGCAGGGACACCTCAAAGAGGTCTGTAGAGCCAATATAGAGTTTAAAAGAGTGCCGCAGAATGCCGTAGAGTGCCGTGATTTTTTCAAACTAACACGTTGAACCCTCTCAAGCCTCTTGAGCTACATGGCACTTTGAGCGCCTGGAACTGCTTTCCGCAATCGCTTCGAGAGACAAATCCTTACTTAAGAACAGATTCGTGGAATTCCGTGTGAAATGCCTTGCCTTGTTCGCGACGAAGATGGCGGTCAGCGCAGAGCTGCAAAGTGGCAACACCGAGTTCGGCAACGCGAGAACCTGAAGAGCAACTTTAGTGCATTCTACCCCTCACCCCAGGCAGCTCGCTGATCATCTCGCTCTCTCCCCTCTCTTTCTATCTCTCTCTCTCCACACGCTAGGCCCCCCAGAGGGGAGCCGCCCCGAAGGGCGCGAGAGTCCCATGTCTGTCGTTTGCTGCCGTGCCCGCGGTTTTCGCAGGCGGCTGGACGGGCCGTGGGCCCAGCTGTGTCTGGTACCCACTCTGTGCCCCGTCAAAAGCGGGTGGAAACGTGGTGCATGGCACGGGTTGTGTGTGAAGGGCAAAGGGCACAGAAAAAAGGTGAGGCCTCTCTCTCTGTGTCTCTCTTTCTCTCCCTCTCTCTCTCTCTCTCTCTCTCTCTCGCTCATCTCTCAGTCTCTGTCTCTCTCTCTCTCTCTTCTTCTTCTTCTTCTTCTTCTTCTTCTTCTTCTTCTTTTTCTGGGGGCATGAGCTTTCTTGGGGGCATGAGTTCTCTCTCTCTCTCTCTCTCTCTTTCTGGTGGGGCCGGGAAGGCTTTCTCACGCGTGAAGCCCCCGTGGGGCCCGCACTCCTTCAAGCTTATTGCAGTTGAAAGGGGTGTTGACAGTTGACTGCGGCAGTTGTCCGGCGCAACTCTATGAAACCATCTGCAAATGATTTTCGGTATTTCTGGTGGATAGATGTTATGTTAGGGTAGCAAACACCCGACACAGGTCAACAGCCAACATCCATGGAAGCTACAGATACTTCAATCACTTGAAATGGGAGATGTTTCGCAGTATCCTCGGAATGTTGTCTCGCTAGTCCCAGTTGTTTCTGCATCTTTCGGGAATCTGCTTGGCGACCTTGGGCCAACAGCTGGTCGCCATCCCCATCTCGCCCTCAGGGCGAGCTGTTCAATGAAAGAGGCGTACACAGACAGGTCGCTTGAAGTTGGGAAGTGCTGTCAAGGGGCACGAAAGGGGGCACACGAAGTCCCACAAGCGACACAAAGGTCGAGCGGTCTTTTGCTTGCCGCTAAGGCGTAGCTTCTGTGGCTTTGAGCTCAGCCCATCCCTTGGGGATGGTCCAAAAGATGGCTGCGGTGTTCGCGAGCATACTCATACCTTCCGATCATGCACAGTTATGGGTGATACTACGGTTGCACCTGGTTTATGGGACAGAAACACACGGGTGGAGCGTACACCCCAGCGCTGCTCAGCCGGCGCCGGGTGGAGCTTGGAGTTGCGGCAGGTAATAGCCTGTGGTGCAGAAGTTGCAGGGCCTGTAGCTGCGGATGCGCGTGGGGTTGTGAGTGCGCTGCCGGGCGCAGTCAACGCGTGCGTGCCACACGGCACCTGATGGACAGGTCGTGGCGGTGAGAGACTCACTGACACGGTGCTCCAGGGGCACTTCAAAGGCTGAGTGGGCAGACTGGGCTGCAGGCGCAAACTGAAGTAGCGGTGGTGTTTGGGTCCCTTGGTCGCAGGTCTGCGACGTCTGCGAGGTGCTGTCTGGGATGGCAGGCTGCGGTGTCTGGGCGGCTCTTTCAAGCTGCAGCGGTGTCTCTGTTTGGACATTTTGGTCTCTGAGACAGACTCGGGCTGTGCTGGCGCGGGACCCCATGGGCATGAGAAGGAATTTTGCCATGCATAGGGCGAGGAGCACGGTAAACGCAATGACCATGAAGTCGAAGAGGCTCATGCTTGGGCTGGTGCCAGTAACACGGTCGCCTGTTTCAAAGGCTGTGGCAGGCGATACGCAGCACATGAAAGCGGCACCAGTGGCCTGCATGCAGGCGGGTGAGGCCTCCCGGGTAGCACTGCCCTTCTTTCTGGCCGCCTGGTAGTCGAGATCATCGACCAGCTTGTTTTTGCAGGCGCGCAGGCGGTCGGCCAGAAGCTGGGCTGCTCCAGTCTTGGTCAGTCCGTCAGCGAGCTGACGTTCAGAGCTGACCCATCGAGGGCATTGGCTTCCTTCAGTCGCTCTTTGGCGCACAAGGCTTCGATGGCGGTTCTTTTGTCTGCCCCGAGATGGACCTGCAGCTCGTCACGCTGAACCACATCGAACAACGCCTTGGCGTCCAGCACAAGAGCGGACGGATACTTGAGCTTAACGGCCTTGTCTGAGTTGAGGGACGTGGCAGGATCAAGGATGCACCGAAGGAACAAAGAGGCAAAGTAGAGCGCATCGGTTGCTTCGGCGGCAGCCTGTGATTCAGAGGACAAAGTGCTGCGGGACACCCGGGGTAACTTGAACGACCTCCAGTCGAGGACGTGGTAGTCGCACGCGATGCCTCGTTCCAAGGCATCTCGGTGGCACAGGGTGATGAGATACCCTCCTTGGCTTGTCAAGTCGGCCCGACTTGCAAAGGAAGCGTCTGAGTAAGCAACCAGGACAAGGTCATCGGGAGAACCGAGGGGCCGGAAGCAGAGACCAGCATCCGAGTTGGACTTGGCAAACCTGAGTGCTTTGTTTGCTTGGAGTACAGTGTCGACGGTTGCAGTGGCGACCTGGCCGGCGAGCAACGAGGTGTAAACCTGCAGGTGTGGGCAGGTCTGGGTTGACAGGCGAAGGCCGGAAGGCCGACGGAGAGGAGAGGTGGGACACAAGAAAGCGGTGCTTGCACAGGGGCCGGAAGGCCTGGGGATGCGGAGTGGCAGGGCGGCAGCTGGGGCGACCAGCCCCGCTACCAACTTGAAGTTGGGAAGTGCTGTCAAGGGGCACGAAAGGGGGCACACGAAGTCCCACAAGCGACACAAAGGTCGAGCGGTCTTTTGCTTGCCGCTAAGGCGTAGCTTCTGTGGCTTTGAGCGCAGCCCATCCCTTGGGGATGGTCCAAAAGATGGCCGCGGTGTTCGCGAGCATACTCATACCTTCCGATCATGCACAGTTATGGGTGATACTACGGTTGCACCTGGTTTATGGGACAGAAACTTCACAGGTCGTATATAGGAGGAAACGACGCCTGCTGGGGAGGATGCCAAGACGCCACGTCTGGGTTCAGGGTCATAGGCCATGGGGTATGGCGATCCAATTCTTCACCACTTTTCTTTCTTCTCTTCGTTGTCATAATTCAGCAGCATCTTATCTCTCTTTTCTTCTCGCTCTCGCTCTCTCTCCCTTGCTTGCTCTCTCACTCTCTCACTCTCCCTCTCTCCCTCTCTCCCTTGCTTGCTCTCTCACTCCCTCTCTCTGCCTCTCTCTCTCTCTCTCTTTTGGCGCATTTCCTGGCCTCGAAGACGGTGATGGCCATGGCGAAGGCCCGGCAGACGGCCGCGCAGAAGGCCGAGGCCCCCACAATGCCGCAGCCTCTGCAGTTGAAAACGACACCCTAAACCCCCCAAAAAAGGCGCGAAGAAAACGAAAACTGCGAAGAGTAGGACTGTGAAGCAGCAGAAAACAATGAAAACATGATGCGCTGGAGAGGAGGGAAAGCTCTTGAGCCCGAAAAACGCAGATCATATCATGACTGAAGTGAAGCTCCATCTGGGCCCCTCTCTAAGCTTCTCCTATGAGCTCTCCAGCTCTCGGCTCCGCGCGGGCGAAAAAGGCGCCCCGCTCGAGCTCCGAGGGGGGAACACCTCTCGACTGCACTCTCGACTTCGCTCCCGGTTTGCCCCCGGTTTCCCCCCTCCCCCGGAGCTTCTGTGGAGGCGTTCTCTGCAACTCTACCCTCCCAAGTAGGTACTTCTCCCACAAATTGAAAACCCTGTCCTACCCGATCTTTTCAGAACAGGGTCTGAGCACCGCTTTGCTTCGGGCGCGAGCATGACACCGAGAGAGGTGCCTCCCTTACTGAGGAGGAGGTCGATAAACCAGTCTGGCCTTGACTTCAGCCGTGTTGCGAAAAATTGCCTTTTGCGAGAAGCCCTTGACACAACCTCCGTGATTCTGAACTTTCTCAACTGCTCAGATCCCTGGGCAAGCGGCAGGAGAACGTGGGCGTACACTCGACCGAGCAGGCCGCCGATAATCATGGTCGGCGCGACTACCTGAGCACTGCTTCAAGCCCAGCTGACCACCTCTACTCAGACCTCTACTCAGACTCGACTCGCACTACTCTCGACTCTAAGCTGGAGCGAGCAGCTCCAGCAGGGATGGCGGAGGACAGGGCCTGAGAGAGCCACAACTGCACGTCGTCAAGTTCGAGCAACTGAACAGCTCTTCAGCGCGGGCACAATGATCTCAAGCCAGTGGCCAGGATGGTCATGAACCATTTCATCAGGAAGCCTCCCCAGGGTTTACGTTTCTCTTAAAGGCCTTCGTGAGCCTGAAAGCAGTTTCGTGAGGCACTGGAGTTGAAGAAGCAGGAAACACCCAAGTCACCCAAGCAACTAAGCTTGACACACAGTGCTATGGTTCCGGCCACCCCTGCCCATGGCAATACCTTGTAGCGGAG